CTTTTTTGACGCAATAAGCCTTTCGTCAGTACTATTTGGTCAGGAAAATTTTCGTGACCACAGTTTGGTCCGGAAAAAATAACATTTTTTTACGTCAAAAAATGTCGTCAGCAGTAAATGGTAAGCACAAATACATTTTGTATGCCATACACAAGAATGACATGTTTTGAATCAATATATAAAAAAACACATAGTAAGCACTGTTCTATGAAAAATATAATGGAAATTATATAATTTTTATTTCGATCTACAAAGACCAAATTAGTCATAATTAATCTTCGAACCCGACTCTAGTCCAGTTTAATAGATCATCTCCCTCGGTTTGGAGTACCCTATGATCATCAATTAAAATATAGTCTTCTTGATAGGCTTCGTCTAATGCTCCTTCTCCTTCTCCTTCTCCTTCCGTATTAGATGGCATCGCGAACAAATTTCTTGGTCGCGTTTCAACCACAATTTCCCAATTTGGATCTCTTAAAGATTGCACATAATAAACTTGAATTGCTTGACTAGCCAGAACAAATGGCTCATCTGTTCTAAGCCTTCGCGTAGTGTTGATGGTAATAGTGCCATGTCCATCTTTCCTGTAACCAACGCCTTCGTGAGCGGTGTCATACCACTCACACTGAAATAATACAACACGAAGCCCTTCCGTATAACAAAACTAGATGATATCGGTGAGAACGCCATAGTAATGAATTCCACCATCGTTCTCCCCTCTCACCATCACACCACTGTTTTGACTGCATTTGGTTAACTCGCGAGAACGAGTGTGAAATCTGAATCCATTGATACAATATCCTGAGTAGTGCAGGACTCGTTTGTCTAGCTCTCGAGCTAAGGATAACAAAGAAGGATTCAAACTTGGCACTTTATCATTGTGCATTTGTGTAATCTGCAAATAATTGCAAGGATAAACTTAAAATTAGCTTGCGATAATTTTTAAATATGAAAATTCTTTATTATATATGACATGTATGTACCTCTAATAAGAACCACTTAGCATATTCTTGCTTCTGCACTGCTTCAACCATACGAACACCTCGATTGCTTAGTTGTTCCTTGTGAGTTCTGTAATTAATATAATTAAAATAAATTATATTCCAGCATATAATAAATAAATAAGTATTGGTATATATGTATATGTACCTTATAAAATCTTTCACTTCATCACAGTTTTGTAGGACATAAGAAGCTGCCGCCTCCCACAAATCAGTATTGATGTCTCTCATGTCGTCCTTCACACCAATGACACGACCGACACCCGGAACAACTGATAGGTCATGAGATGGCTGCGACGACGATGAAGATTTATCTACATTTCTCTCTGGCCGATTAAATATAGTATCCATTTCGGTCAAATGTTGCGAGCAAAATGTGACACATTCATCAACAATATAAGCTTCGGCGATTGATCCCTCTGCACGTGCCTTGTTATGAACGTAATCTTTTAATTTCTTCAAATACCTAAATTGTATAAAAATTGTCAAATTAACTACACAAAGTTTCCAAAATGTCAGTATATATAATAATTTTAGTGTAGATATATATGTAGCATACCTTTCAATAGGATACATCCATCGATACTGAACTGGACCAGCAACTTTGGCCTCCCAATGCAGATGGATGGGCAGGTGGATCATTATATCGAATAAGGCAGGAGGAAAAATACGTTCCAACTTACATAGGATTATGGTAATTTGAGACTCCAAGTAATTCAAATCTTCCACGTTTAGCTCCTTGGAACATATGTCCTTAAAAAATTTGCTAAGCTCAATCAGTGTGTCCGATATGAACTTCGGAAATAAGTCACAGGGCGGCTAACGGTAATAACCTCTCCAAGAAGACAATCATGAGTTTTCATCCCATGTATCTTTCGATCATCAACATTGACACAACGTGCCAAACTTGTGGAGTAAGCATCTGGTACCTTAACTTTTGATAGCCACTGACACAAGGATTTCTTCTCTGCCGTCGTCAAGCTATATGCAGCTCTAGGTAACTCTGTTTTCCCATTCCTCTCAACAGGATGAGGATCTTTCCTTATACCCATCTCCTCCAAATCACGACGTGCACTTAGACCATCCTTTGTTTTGCCCTCAATATTCATAATAGTACCAAGAATACTGTCACATACATTTTTCTCTATATGCATGACATCCAAATTGTGTCGTACTAAGAGCGATGACCAATATGGCAATTCAAAGAAAATAGACTTCTTTTTCCAGTTATGAGTTTTGCCAAAACCCATTTATTTATTTGCCTTTTCCCTTACTGCCGAAAGGTATAGTTTGTAAAGAGAGAAGTTGATTTTTTACCTCTTCGGATGATAATCGCTCTGGTGCACGTCTTTTTTCTACAGTGCCGTTAAACTCCTTCTTTTGCTTGCGCCATTTATGATCCAATGGCAAAAAACGGCGATGATCCATGTAACATTCCTTGCATCCTTTATTCAACCTCAAATGTGAGGTGTTCCCTGCGCAGGAAGGGCATGCCAATTTGCCTTTTGTACTCCAACCAGAAAGGAGACCATATGCAGGAAAATCATTGATAGTCCACAACAATGCAGCTTTCATGTTGAAATTCACTTGTTTGAATGCATCTTAAGTCATTATTCCCTCACTCCACAATGACTTCAGATCATCAATGAGTGGTCGCAGGTAGACATCAATATTGTTTCCTGGACTCTTCGGACCAGGAATGAGTAATGTCAATAATAGATATGGACTCTTCATGCATAACCACGGTGGGAGATTATACGGGAACAGAATTACTGGCCATGTACTATGCATGTTATTCATGTTTCCAAATGGATTGAAGCCATCCCTTGCTAATCCCAATCGGACGTTGCGAGGGTCGGAACCAAAATTTGCATCATACTGGTCCAAAACTCTCCAAGCTTCACTGTCAGCAGGGTGCCTTAATTTGCCATCTCTGACACGTTGTTCGCTATGCCACACCATATTCTCCGCAGTTTTTCGCGACATGAATAAGCGTTATAATCTTGGCTTTATGGGAAAATATCTTAGTATCTTGTAGGGCACCTTGGTGACTCTTGCCCTACTATCCTTCCTGATTTTCTTGTACCTTGATTTCTGGCAGGAAGGGCATGTCGTTGCTCCTTTGAGCTCCCCGTAGTAAATGACACAGTCGTTTTCACAAGCATCTATTTCTTCATAATTTATCCCAAGACCACTCAACATCTTTTTTGCTTGATAGTAATTCTTCGGCATTGTAGACTGTGCCATAGGGAAAGTAGATCGAAGAAACTTCAATAATTGAGTAAAAGAGGTATTACTCCAAGAATTGAACCACTTCATATGCATCTCTTCACCAGTCATGACAGACTAGATAACTTTTCATCACAACCTTCATACAATGGCGTCTGAGAATCTCTGACCAGTTTGAAAAACTGCTCTGCCTCTGCATTGGGATTCTCGGGGTCAGGATCCAAATGCGGTCTCAAATCATTCAGTAACCCCGGTATGTCATCTACATCCATCTCATTACCATCGTCTACAGCATCCTCTGCATCCTCCTCTCCAGAATAATCATCGTCTGATTTCTGTCCATGGTAAATCCATTTAGTGTAATCACGTGACATTCGTCGTCGTAATAGATGTAGCTCAACTTCTCGTTTTTCCCTTCTTATAACATTCCGACAGTCCACGCAAGGACACTGTATTTTGTTGTCTTTGTCTTGAATATTGGAGTATGCGAATGCGATAAAATTTAGAACGCCATTCGCATACTCCATAGTTAATCTATTACGAAGCTGCATCTATGATTTATCAACACCTTCTATAACCTACAAAAAATGTACAATATATTTTTAATTATTGCAACTTGCTTAAATGAAATATAAACTTAACAATATATATATATATATGGGGAGTTCTACGGTACCCCAGGTGAAATCCGGGGTACCGCATACCTTAAGTAAGAAAACGCTCTCTAGAACTTGAATTGACTGATCTTTCTGACATTATACTATGCTCTAACCTATAAAGATCAAAATCTAGGTCTTAATTCTCTAAATCTTATACCCCAAGATCAATTTAATTAGAAACAATAATCGACGGTTATGATTCGTCCAAATATAGGCAAAAAAAGTAATGCACCATCTTAGGGTTTATAGTTTATGATTTAGATAATTAGGATCTAGGGTTCACTCATTAAGGGTTAGGGTATAGTATCATGCCCAAAAATCCTGGTAATTCGAGGTCTAGATAGCGTTTTTATACTCAAGGTATGCGGTACCCCAGATTTCACCTGTGCAGAGCAACTCTCCCTCTCCGCCTCTTGTTTCAGAGAATCAGAAAGAAGGACAAGGGGACAGGAACACCAATACGCATTTTCCTATCACTGAAACTCCGAGAATGGAGCAAAGGTCCCCTGTTACTGAATTGGAAGGAGAAACAGAGCATGTTGATTCGACTGCTCCACATTCAGCTGCAGACCTGTCCTCAGAGGGTGGAAGTTCGAATGGTTAGTTTCATTGTGTGGTTTTTTTCTTTTATTTCGTAGGGCTTACTTCTGTCTTTGCATTGTAGCTGACTATAAGTTCTGACCTTGTGATAGGGACGACCAAAAAAAGAAAATGAAGAGGACCATGAAAGGGTGTAAAGCCTGGACACAACCTGTCCCTGGAATTTCACGATAATGTGTACTGCTTCATCCTTCTTGGAGGGCAAGCTTGGGCATAGAAGTTTCAGAGTTGTGTATCTCTTGGAATATGGTGTATAGTAGGATTTCCTACTTGCTGTGCAGTTGAAGTATAATTGATTGGCTGGTTGGCTTGATAAGATATGGATGTTCTCAGGAGATTTCCTCATCAACTCATGAGTGAAAGTTGATTAATTTGATTCTTGGGTACTCAGACTTCCCCTTCTTCCATGGTACGTGCACCATTTTTGCACGCAAGTAAATATTCAAACAAGAACAAGAAGAAAAAAATTAAACCCACCAAGAGAGAGTCCGCCCCTGCGCCGTCGGCAGCTTCTCTTCCCGACGGCGGCGACACCTGCTCCGGCGGCAGCGGCTGTCTCCTACCTGCTTCTTTTCCCTTCGTCCAAAACCAATCCTCAAAGAGCCACAAGAAAACGAAAGAAATATTAGCCGAATCCCAATAAAAATCACCTAAAACAAATCGAAAAGACCATGCATGTCTCGATCTTACCTAGATCGAAACCCTCTCGGTTGATTTCGTCTAGTGTGAGCGGTCTTTTAGGCGAATCGAACAGGGAGAGAGGGAGGCTTTGTGTAGGTTGAAGACGAGGAGGAAGAGGTGAGAAAGAGGCGTTTTCTTCACCTCTGATCTGGACTATTGGGAGGATGTCGGCGACGTGGTTTGATTAGGCTAGGGTTTCGTTGTTTTCGTTCTCTGGAAGAGAGAGGCGAGGCGAGGTGAGAAGATGGCGGGTTAGGTTTTTTGGTTGGTTCTGGAGAGGACGAGAGAATCGGCCGAGAGAGAGAGAGGGAGAGTGGAGGCAGCCGCCTCTTGGTTAGGATGGATTAGGGTTTGCTTAGAGAGGTTTATATACCTCATTAATTACAAATACTAAAATGCCCTTAGGGTTTCTAATAAATTACGTGGCCTTGCCACCGTCCTTTTGAGTAATTACCATGTCGCAACCGCCCCTCCGGGGGTCCGATGTCGTGTCGTCGGCCTTTTTGGGAGTCGCCATCGATCTTGTTTGGAGTGGATCGAACACTCTTCGGTCAGCTCTAACTTTAGGGTCAGAACCAAGACTTGGTCTGCGAAAATAAAGTTCTGGGTTCGGGAGTACGGTTACGTGTGGGGAAGTTAAGCAACACCCCCACAACGCCCTAAATCGGTACTACTTAAGTTTAATAAGTTTTATATTAGTTGGGTGTATTTTAGTAATATTTTTGTAATTTTAGGTCCCACTGGACCATTAAATGATTTTATCGTATTAGTTGTGATTTAATTATACGTCCACTGACGTACATTTTAAAGATAAAGTTAATTGGTTAGTTGGACTCGAACCTTATAGGTTGCCTACGTACCCGTATCACAGGATCAAAGTCCACGTAGTTCGTTTGGGACCTTGATAATTTTAAAGGTAATTTTTACCACGTTCCACCGATCGTGGTTCTCGCGTATTAAGGATTTTGTTAACTTTGATAGTTTTAGTTATAACTTTTAACACGTTCCACTGAACGTAATTCTCGTATTACAATTTTGTTAATAAAATTTTATTTAGATTATTATGATGTTACGAAAATAAATGCAAGGATTTGGTTAGACCGATTTGGTCAAGGTCGGTTTATGGTTATTTTTTGGACCGAACTGGTTGGGCCGAGTTGGGCTTGGTTTTGTGCAAGGCGGAAGGGAGATCGACGACACTCAGACCTCGTCGGCAGGGATGGCGAGCCTTGCCGCCGGCTACAATGGGGTAGGCTCAGATCTGTTTAGTTTTTATGTTTTGTTGTTTTTTCGTATTCTTACTTGTTTTTGAATTTCTGGGTTTTCTTTTGGGGTTTCGATGGGAGGAGAAACAGAGGATGGCGCCGGCCCCAGAATCCGCCGGCAACGAACGCGGCGGTGGTTTGACGACAGCTAAGGCGGGTGAGCACTTACTATTTTGGTCAGAACTTCGTTTTACTTCCCATGATCTGTATACAGCTATACTATTTCTAGTTTACTACTACTATGAGAACGTATTATCTTGCTAAATTTCTGTAGTGCTTTCAAATTCCTTTTTAGAGGATAGGTGATAAGCACTCGATTACTGTATGCAAGCAAATTAAGGTAGGATTCCAATAGACAGAGGTCTATGGAAAGAAGTCAAAACCATTTTTTAGAAGTTCACAAGATTAGTCCAGGTCTATATCTGGTTCCAACAAAAACCACCCAAACACAATTAAATTCAGATTTCAGAATCCACTTTAGCGAAATCAAGAGCAATGGCAGTGATTTAGTATAAAATCAGTACCCATTTTGGTTAAAGCCGTCCCGAATTAAGAATCCATATAAGGATTCACAGCCGTAGTTCATTAGTAAACTAGTAACACAAAACAACAATATCCCCAAAAATCATATCTGTAAATTATCTCCTAGCTCACTAAAATCACCATTCTTGCCAAGAAACCAGATTCGTAGATAATGAAAGATATGCAAACTCACAAATCAAAACCAGCGAAACCCATTTTTTTCCCCTACCATAAACTCGGATCTACAAACAAACTATATTTTTTTTTCTAATTTAACCTTCCTAGTTAAACCAATCAGAGTTAGGAGACCTCACATTTTCCCTGATCTAACACTTGTATTTGGTAGGATGATCATCGATGATGGATGATGTGAGTGCCACTTCTCATAACTAGATTAAATTGGCTATTCTTTTTGGTAAAAATGGGGATGCTGACACCATGTTCTTGCCGGTATTGCGCAAATATCTCACAATTGGACTTTGATGTGTGAGTTTAATAGACGCTTTCTGCCTGTATGGATGTAAGCTCCTGAACTGAGGATATGACTGCTTCTTGCGTGTGATTCCTTTGTATGATAAATTATATCTTTGATCTTCCTCGATATTCTAGTCATGAGAATCTGCGAGGGTTTTCTTGGTATGATACTAATGTTTGGCTCCCTGTGCATCGGGATTTGGCTATTTGACTTCACGTCAACTAAGTCTCAATTTGTTGGCGAAACGCGTCTATAGTGGTGTCGAGATTCTACAAGTAGCATGATGTCGTATACTCATTACACCTTTTGACTATTAACTCACATGACTCGTGGTTACCAGTATGGTGTTTATCTCTCAATTTTAGCGAAACACGTACACTCTCAACACCAGTGGGTGCTAAATTTATCGATGGTAGCATGGTATTTATAATCGCTCGACACCAGTGGGGTGTTCCCATTTTCTTAGCATGACAATCTCATGGCTTAAGTTGAAAATAAACTGGATTTTGATAGCTTTCATGTTCGCAGAAGATAAATCCGTTTTAAAAGAAAAGAATCTGAAGTGGAATTCGTTATTTTGATAATAAAAAAAATCCATTGATGCGAACTCTTAATTCAAGATTGATACTATTCACACGATGCTCCAAAGAGGTCGAAAATTGAAAGATCTTTTATTCATGACGATGGAAGCAAAACTGATACAACTTTTAGCAAGGTAAAATGTCTCGATTAGTTGATGATAATCAACATCATCCATGCATTGAGGTTTGCCTAACGATTTTCTTGATTAGGTTGCAAGTTGTGGTTTCTCTCCAGCAGTGAGTCGTGGTTTTCTTCAAATTTTTGACGAAGCCTTATGGAAAATGCTCACATGTCCTTTCATTTCTTCAAGTGTCGCTAACCTTCTTTTGACGAAGTATAATTCCCTCTATAATGACTCCGAAATGATCATAACTTTGGATCTTGCCGATGTTTAAGGATTTGAATTTTCCTCGAGGAAGAGCAATTTTGAGGAAACCTGGACTGTCTCAATATTGTCAAATTATTTCCTTTTTTTTAATGATGGTGTATGTGTGATGCATATATGCACTGATGATTCAATGAATGCATGTGCACTTAAAAAAGTTTTCATGATTTATTTTGAATGCATAAGCGAAAAACAAGGAGAGAATGATGCTTATGAGTTTTTTTATAAAAAAAATTACAATGTTCACACTGACAAATTATTTTGCTATTGGAAGTGTACAACACAAGTTATCACATCGTTAGAAAACATATATACAGATAATAAAATCATAACCCTATTTTGGTAGACCTAGGGCTTTCGGAGGGCATAATGACGTGATTTTAGGGAAAACTAGAAGTCAAGACAAAAAAATTTTGCACAACATGTCCCAGGAATTTTTTGCACTCAGTGTCTCACATCTTTCATGATAACCCGTCCCTGTACTCAGTTTACTTAGTTTGATACTTATAAATATACTGTGCAGGATAATTACCACTCAAGCGACCTGTGAAATTTCAGCTATCTTCAAAAGGAGTATCAATGGGCCTTGGATTACTTTCTCAGAGTATCCTGCAACAGAACTCGAGACTGTGATAGCTCGTTTCAAGGACTCAGGATTCACTTACACGGGGTCATAAGAGACTTTCAATGATATGGTCAGAGACCACGTGAAGAGAAACTTTCCCCAGTGGATGTATGGTCTCCGAGACCGGAATTTCAAGAAGTATAAGGATCTGAATCAGAGAATGAACCATCCACCACCGAAAATTAGTCCATTAATTTGGAGGGAGATGGTTCAGAAATGGACTAACCCGAATTGGGTGGTAAGTTAAGTGGGTGTATGCTTTGGTGTTTGTCTTTCATCCTAATCTGTTTTCAATGGTGAGCTGATTGTTTGTTGTTTCGAATTCAAGGAAATGAGTGATAAGAATAAAGGGAATCGGGAGAAGACTGAGCTTGCAGCCACTGGCGGTTCAGCATCGTTGGCCAAGTACAGACATGAAGAGGTAAGTTGCTGCACTATTGCTAATGTTTATGTTAGGCTGCAAGTGTACTGAGTTTACATGTGAATGCAATTTTTCTTTTTAATTGATTGGTACATAAAACAAACTAGAAAAGAACCTGATCCGATCGAGATGTTTAGACGTTTCCATGGTAAGAAGGACAAGAACTGGGTTTTGTCAAAAGCAAAAACCCTACATGTAAGTTCAATAATGCTTACAGAGTATTAGGCTGCTGTTTGTACTCGGTTCTATTGTCTTTTTTATTGATATTGATGTTGTATACAGAAAATTAGGCTGCTGTTTAATTTGTACTCGTTTTTGTTGTTTTTTATATTGATGTTGATGTTGTTTACTCCATGATTAGGATGGAATGATACAAGCAGAGGCTGAAAAGGTATCCCAAGGGGAAGAACCAAACAAATTTGCCATCTATCAAGAAGTGATCGGACCACAACGCCCAAAGCGTGTTCTAGGGATGGGCCATGGGGTGAGCTCGGTTGATGTCTTCGGTCCCACATCAAGTCAAGGTAGTCAGGGTTGCAGCAAGCGTTGTCAGGAGGATCGAACCAAAGAAAGGGAAAAAATGATGAGAAAATGAAGAAGTTGGAGGATGAGATCGTAGATGTGAGGAATGCAGTTCCTCACATTGTTGAATCTGTCTTGCAGAAACTTGGAGTGCAGCTGCCCGAGTCATTCGATATGGTATGTATTTTGCTGCCATGTTTTATTTTTTACTCATTACATAATTTTCAAAGCTATGGCTAATTTATTTGTTATATTCTATGTAGGATCTCAACAGTGAAGCAAATGGGGAACAAGGTCGAGTTGGGGAAACTCAGGGTAACAATGTGGCCGACGACAAGTCCGACGATGAGTCCGATGAGGAGACTGCCGAGGAGACTGCTGCTGATGCATGAATTTCTTTTTAATGCTATCATAGGATTCTAAGTATCGCTTGACTTTGGGATATTTTGTGTCATTTTCGGAGGATATTTTGTCTTTTGAAGTTTGGATGTTTGGTCGTAGCTGATGGCTACTTGTTCGACAGTTTGAAAGTTATTTTGGAATATGCATAACTTTGTTTGGATGATTTGCTTGTGTTGTCATCACTAGAAGTATAATGGCGTCACAAATGAAATTTGATCAAGCAATTAGCAACAAATGCCGCCGTCGTTAATAGATGTAGTTGCACAATTGACAATAATTAAGCGTCATTAGTAAATGGAGTTTCTCCGACGACGTGTTGGAAAAGATAATTTTTGGTGATAATTAGCTGTCCTCAGTAAATATTTTTTTTTCCAATGACACGGAAAAGATTTTTTCCGACGATTAACATATGTCCTCGGTAATATAAATATAACCAACGACACGTGGGAAAATATTTTTTTAATGATGAATAGGTGTCATCGTAAATAAAAATTTATCCAAGGATACATCGGAAAAGATTAATTTTATGATGAATAGTTGTCATCATAAATAAAAATTTATCCAACGACAAGTTGGAAAAGATTTTATTTACGATGAATAGTTGTCCATGGAAATAATAATTCTTCCGACGACACGTCAGAAAAAAGATAGTTTTAACGACAATTTGTCGGCATCAGTAAAACTTATATTTTTGACTAAACGTCGGTAATAATATATTAGTGACGCATACACATCATCAGAAATGTATGTACAACGTATAAAAAAAAAACATTCGGCCTCAATTTCTGGTCACAAATAGTTATTTTCGATGAATTATGGACGTTAGTATAATTAGTATTTATGACGTCTCGTCAAAAAAATGGTTTAAACATAATGCGTCAAAAATAAATTAAGCTGTCGTCAAAAAAACTTCGTCAAATTCATCCGTCATGAGTGATTTCTTTTGTGATGTCATTTATGTTATTACTAACGTATTCATGTAGTCAATAATATTGTAAATTTGACGACTTGTCAATAATATTATTATTAGCGACGGGACAATTTCTGACAACGTTTGACGAAGAAATGTCATCGTAAAAGATATTTTCTGAAGAAATTTTATCAATTATGACGAAAATCGTGTCATTGGTAATGACTGCCTTTTTTTGTAGTGCTGGTTTGTTGTTGTGGTCTTCCGGAGTTGCTGAATCCTCTAGAATTTCATAACTTGGTGGAGATTGAGAAATTGGATTTTCCCAATTCCACTCCGCCATCTCATCAAAGATCACATCTCGGGAAAACTCCACTTCATTCTTTACTGGGTTGTAAAGACGATAGCCTTTGGACTCATTACTATAGCCAATGAAGATCAGCTTCTCTCCCGTCCGGTCAAACTTGTCACGGTTCGGGGTAGAGATATGTGCATAAGCTATCCACCCAAAGACCTAAGGTGATCCACCTGTGGCCTCCAGTGGTGCCACGCATGTATCGGTGTCTTGTTCGGAACTGCTTTTGTTGGTGATCTGTTGAGGATGTAAATTTTCGTATTGACTACTTCTACCCACAAGTTGTTGGGAAGATTTTTGGCGTTGAGCATACTTCTAGCCATCTCCCCAATCGTGCGGTTTTTCCGTTCTGCCACGCCATTTTGTTGTGGTGTGTAACGAACCGTTAGCTGCCTTTTTATTCCGTTGTTGAGGCAATACTCCATGAATGGAGTATAAATAAATTCTCCTCCACGATATGTTCGGAGAGTTTTGATTTGATGGCCTCTTTCCTTCTCAGCTAATACTTGGAATTGAAGGAACTTGGGAAAAGCTTATGACTTTTTCTCTAGAAAGAATACCCACGTCATTCTGGTGAAGTCAACTACAAATAGTAGAAAGTATATCTTGTCGCTGAGTGATTGTGTTCGGGTTGGACCACATATGTCTGCATGTACCAACTCCAGTGGCGCCTTTGCTCTCCAAGATGTCTTTGAAAATGGCAAACGATGCATTTTGCCATATATGCACCCTTCACAAATTTTGTCTTCTCTGTTGATCTGGGGAAGTCCCACCACCATATTTTTCTGTCTCAACAATTTGAGACCTTTGAAGTTGAGATGACCGTATCTGAGATGCCATAGGAAGGATTGATCCAAATTTTCACTCTTGAATGCTACTTCACCATTTTGTGACATAACAATAGAGAAAATTATGTTGGAAGGCATCGGGACTTTGGCCACAATGAAATAGTCAGCTTTGTTGATAATCTTGCACACGCCATTATCAAACAATAGCTTGTAATTTTTTAGCATCAGTTGTCCCACGCTCAGTAGATTGAGAGTTAGCTCTGAAACATACAAAACATCTCGAATGAGAGTTTTGTTGCCTTCTTCTGTGCATACAACAACTGTGCCTTTTCCTTCCACCTTTAGCATCTTTCCGTCTCCCAACTTGACATGAGAGCGGTATTTGTCATCGATGTCGGTGAAGGAATCCAGATCTCCAGTCATGTGGTTACTGCAACCACTATCCACCATCCAGGGAAGCTGTGACTTTTGCTAACCATTCAAGCATGACAAAGCAACCATATTGCTTTCTTGATTTTTGGTGCCGCTTGACTCACCTTCTTCTTGCTTGTTCTGGAACCAGCAATCTCTCTGGGAGTGGTTTAGAATTCTGCACTTGGTGCACTTGAATCTGCAGTCTTTTGTTGCATGACCCGCATTTTTGCAAATTATGCAACACGAGCCGGTGTAGCCCGATTTTTGCTGTTGATATTTTTCCTGTTGTTTCCTCTGTAATTGGATCTTCCTCTTCCTCTCCATTGTGAGTTTCCCCCTTTCTGGCCTTGCTCTGATCTGGCAGATTTACTTTCCGTCATGTTGACTTTTGACGAGAAAGCTTGCTCCAATGGCGGTTTGGTGAAGTGACTCATTCTTTGCTCGTGTGCTACAAGTGAGCCCATCAACTCACTCATTGGTAGATTTGCCAAATCTTTGGTTTCTTCTATCACATCAACAATGTGTTCGAACTTTGATGATAAGCTTCGGAGAATTCTCTCCACGACTTTCCTTTCTTCCATGACATCACCAGTAGTTTTGATCTGGCTGACTATCTCCACCACACGCGAATGGAAGTCTTTGATGGTGTTGGTTTCCTTCATCATCAAGTTGTCAAACTGACGCCATAAACTATGACGCCTGATGGAGATCGCTTTTCACAAACTTGAAATTGTTCACGCAAGACATCCCAAGTTTCTTTGGCTTTTTTGATGCCATAGATTCTTGGGTAAATAGATTTGCTCACTGCTTGCTGAATGATTCTCAAGGCACTGGCATTTTGTTTGGCATTCTCCTTGTACTCCTTTGTTTGCTTGTTTGGGCGCTTCTTGGAGTTTTCATCATCTTCTTATGGATCTTCATAACCATCTTGGACTATATCCCACAGATCTTGTGAGATGAAAATAGGCTCAATTTGGGCACTCCAGTACTCGTATAATTCACCATCGAAAATGGGAATTGGATTTGAATAGGTAGCAAACGTGGTATTTGATGAAGTTGTTGTCATGGCTTTTTGAGAAAGTTTATGTAGGCTAGAAAGGTTGGATTTTTTGAGAGGATAAAAGGGTATAAGCTCTGATACCAAATTTGTTGGGTAGTAGCGGAAGTAATGATAATTTAGGATCAAGACAAAGGAAACAATTGTTGTTAATCACTCTTTCTAAGAAAACACTCAAACAAACAATGTCTTATACTTTTAGTTATTGTTTTTAGTTACACCACAAAGAAAGAGCATAAACGCAGGAAACTTGCTTCTTTCTATTTTTTATTGTTTCTCTGACTCTCTGACAACTCCTTCCCATACGTACATGAGTCAACTCCTTCCCATACGTACATATATATATTGCAAATGGAAACCCTTGATAATTAATCAGTACATGACTTCATCTTTTTTTCATACATGCAGAGGCACACCACACTCACCATTTATCACCAATAATGAACCTTGGCCCATGCATTCATTTGAGCACACTAGCCTTGTCTCTTAACTTGTCCATATGCTATATGAATGTTGATTGATAATTAACTTAATTATTTGGTGGTTGTGCCTTCTCTTTATATCAAACTTTGAGGCTCCATTTGATAATTGATCAATCAATGAACTTAGACATACCATGGGAGGTGCTCGAGAGAGACTTGATTGCAAATTATCAATCAACAGACCAATCATACTATTAGTCAGAATCCACAAAACTATACCCAGGAAACCTGAAGAGGTAGAGAAAAAACTCAGCCCTGACACAAACAAATCATCAATCCATGACAACAGATCATAACTTGTGCACAAAGAACATACCTGCTATGCATTTTAGAATTCAAACCGATCTTTAATCGAGTATGATTTATTTGATAGTTAACAAGTAGATCCAAGAGCGCCTGTGTGTGAACAATCGACTCCCTTGAATACGTCAACAAAACTACAATAAGAAAGATGGTTCATTTGTGAAAAAACTAGAAATACAGAGTCCGCACAATTCAAGGAACAAAATAGCAAAAGATGGTTCATTGTGAAAGTGAAACACAGTATTTTACCATGCTAAACCGCCAAAATGCACGACGTTGTCACACCAGGCAGGATTGTACTCTTTTTCTACCACGATTTCATGCTTCAATATTACACAAGACACCAGAACTTGGCCCACTTTGGCCAACTCTCTGCCTGTTAGCCGTGGAGTTAAAATTGTTGGGATTTGAAAGGTGTGAATGAGAATGAAAGGGGAAGAAGTCAATAGTTGGTGAGTTATTGGTTAAACCAAGTTGAACCAAATCGGACCAAACCGATGTGGCGGTTGGAATGAACCAACCGGTGCAATGGTTGGGCATTTTTTTGTGAACTATTGCAATGGTTGGGGTGTGACCACCCACTTGAAGGGTCACATCCCTTCACTCGCACCCCTTCATTGTTTATAAATAAACACCTACCCCTCTGTTTTCTACACAAGTTTTTCCCAATAAATTTTTCTGGCCAAAAGAAAAAGAATTTTTATTCTTCATTGCATTTCCTCTCTACAAACTCATAAAGAAAACAGAGTCGTGTGACTTCTCTCCGATCGTTGCGTTCGTTGGGTTCTGGTGTTTCAAGTATCGGTACGCCAGAAAAGGTACGTCCGTTCTATCCTGGGAGGAATAGTTCCAATAACCTTGAGTACCGTAGAGGGAAATTAAATTCCTTAA